AGTTTGCGCCTGCCGAGGCGCTGGCTTCTCGCTTGCCAACTTGACCGGCCTTCGCGTGGCTGTGTCTGCCCAGGATGTGCTTGGCGGAGTGCTCGCGCCAGTCCAGTTGAAGCGCGGCTGACGGTCCTTCTCCGCCGTGTCACTTGCTCAGGCCCTGCTTGCTTTCTGGCCAGGTGGTTCTTGGTGTCCTTTGAGGGTGGTCTTTCTTCTTTCCCCCCCTGGGTTGGTCGGCAATCTCCATGTCTTGCTTGAGGCTTGAATGCCGTACGCAGATCGAAATTGCCTGTGGACTGCGGCACGCTATCAGCGTTTGTTCTCGATGTCTTGCTCTTGAGGCTTGAGTGCCCTTGTTTGGGTGGGTGGGGCAGCTTCAGCTGGCCCACTTCCGTGTGCAGTTCGCTCTGGGGCTGCCAAGCGCTATCAACGTCGGCGGGCCTTGCGTGAGCAGACGCGGCCTGATGTGGAGTTGCTTGGATGTCGCACCAGGGTTGCTAACTGTCGTAAATGCTTGACGTTTCTTGCTTGCGTGCGGTTGTCTTTCGAACGCTACTCGAAAGCTTGTCGCATGTTCGCTGAGTATATTGCGCGGCAACTCGCTGGTCAAGACCCAATCCTTCATCTGATAGCACCCTGTCTCCCTTACCTTTGGTTTAACAATAATACAAGGCGTTTAGTGCCCCAGAGCTTTGATTGAATAGATCGACGTTTTTAGCTTCAACCGTCTCTAGGCGTCTGGCTCCCTTGCCCCTAAAACATTTGACCTTCCACAACCCTTAAACATGTTCGTGTTTCTGGTGGGGTCTCCTATATGGCAAAGCCCCCCAAAAAATCAGTTGCGTGGTTTGAGTGGCCGGCTGCAACATATGTTGGAGCCTCCATGGTATCGGGGTGAGGAATTGCGGCGGCGCGGGGCATCAATTGTTCCCAAAGCGCGCTTCATCACGCTGGCTTTTGGATTGAAAGCAGCCGCGCGCACCGCATTGCTTCCTCAGGCGGCGAAGCTTTGCGCGGAACAACGATTGCTTTTGTTCCCCATCCTTCCGAAGATCCACTTCCTGTGGCACATCTACCATCAGTTGCGTTGGGAGGGCACTTTGGCATCGTGGACGGTCTCTCCTTCAGCTACCTCAGTTCCAATGGACGAAGACTTTATTGGTAGATTGCCAGATTGGCTCGGAGAGTGCATCCTTTGCGAACAATTCCCGCATCGATGTTTAGGTACCATGTTTACTTGCAGCAGCTGCTGCATGACTATAGGGATGCTCCAAACCACTCTTGTCGGGAAAACAGGCGTGGGCGGAGCGCCAGTCCGGCGGGAGGGGCTGGAACCCTTTTAGTCTAAACATGTTTTGCAATCGAGGTTGAGAAAAACGGAAGAAGAATAAGGGAAAACACTCTTGCATTATTCGCTGTTTTTCGTGCTTGGCCCGCGTGTTTCGGTTTTGCGCTTTCTTTTGTCATGTGCTCTTTGGCTCGGCTATCACCATGCGCCTTTCCCGTTTGCGTTGGTGGGAGACTTGGTTCCGAGCTTTTGTGTCTACGCCAACAAGGGGAGCCTGCAAGCGAAACCTGCAAGTTGGCCCATCACGCTTTACTTTTTAGGGCTCAGCTGCCCCAGTTTGTCACAGCTGTCACGGTGTTAACCTGGGAAGGGAGGGGGGCGGATACGGTTTTACACTTGTGTTTGCCTCTTTTACCAATGTAGAATTAGCCTAGCCTTTTGCGCAGCATGTCGTGCACTGTTTGTGCTTCCCGCAGCGCCTGAAACATGTATTACATATATTTGTATATGTACACATGTATTTATTTGCCACAAAAGGAGTGCGCCGCCTCCGCGCTGTCACACTTGACCGTTGGGGGATACTGTGCGTCGCAGCTGCTCAGCGTCAGCTGTTGCACTTGTTGCGGTTGGACCTACAGGGGTCACATGCCTTTTTCCTCTGACACCAAACACGTCGGGCGCGGCGTTGTGGCCACCTTTGTGACTTTTGCCTTTCGTAATTCGCCTGGGGCGCCTTTAACATGCGAACTGCTTTTGCACGGCTCTATTGCAAATCTTGCGCTTGGTTGAGCATGCTTGTTGCACGCCATCATGTCTGCTAACTGCTCAGCTTCCAATGTCGCTTGCATGTGGCGCGCTGTTCACGCTGGAGCGTGTTTCCCCGTGCTGGCCTTGTCTGCCCCGTGCTGGTCTCGCTTTCTTGGAAATGAGCGCTCTTTGTATACTGGTGTTGTTATTGTCACACCCGGCGGGCTGCAGGTCTGCACAGATTGGTTTATGGGTGGATCGAGCGCTGTGCACAGGCGTCTTGGCTCGAACCTTCTCGTGGTTACGCCTGTTTGTCACTAGGTAGTGACAGCTAAGAGAGCCATGGATTTGCCGGTAGACCTTCAGCAGTTTGACACGTCCTCCCTGGATGTGATCGGGTGCATGCCCTTCTTCGAGACACTGTTCTGTGGGATGGGCTTTCTGACCCAGGCCATTTTCTTGTGAAAACCGCCATTGAGATCACCCAGGTATTGCCTTGTGGATTATTTGGTATGCGCAGATATTCTTGCAGAATCATTCGGTTTGATCAGCCCAGGATGTGCGGACGAACCTTCCACCTCCAGGTACCGCGCGAAATTCATCCTGATACTTTGATGAGCGGAGCTCAACTCACCGTTATGAGAACCAAGGTGAACTTTGGCACTTCTGCTTTGACGCTGGAAACTGCCAGTCATAGTTCTTTGGCCTTCTTCTTGACAGATCGTGAAAAGCCAGTCACCACTTTGGACCTGTTCAGTGGTTTTGGTGGGTGGACTTGGGGGGCTTCCATGGCTATGGGTGCGGGATCGATCAAGCTGCCACCTTTCAGTGCTTCCATTGAATGGGATGAGCCAACGGCACGAATCATGGCTGACAATTTTTCGCTTGCGGTTGTTTCCACTGATGATTTTCTCGACCAATCAAAATCCATTCCCGAACAACATTTTGTGCTTGTTGCTGATGTCAACGATGATCATATCTACCAACGGTTGTCTACCTTGAATGTTGACCTCATCATTGGCAGTCCGAGCTGTCAGTCATGGAGTGGGGGAGGATCGCAGTTGGGGCTGGCGCATGTGAATGGCCGACATTTTTTGTCTTTCATCAAGGTGTGCAGTTCACTTTTGCCTCGCTGTTTTGGCTTTGAGAACGTACGTGGCCTTATGAGGCACAATCACTGGTCCATTCTGGAGAGGATCATCATTCAGTTGGGCTATCGTGAGGCCTTTCTGCGGTGCGAGGAACCTCCAATTGTGCCCTTGCAACGCGAGCGGACTCTGGCCATTTTTGTGCGGGCTGACTTCGGTATTTCCCCTTCGGTCGAGCAGATTCTTTGTCGGATGTACCTATCTGTGCCTGTGCCGAGAACTCTGAGCTCATGGCAGTGCTTACACTCCCAAGGCAGCGCATCAGGTTGCAATTGGATTTTCCTGGACAACAACCATTTGGATATTGTATTCTCAGCTGAGTTCCTTCCCATTTGGATGCGTGGCAAGTCTATGCAGCATGCGCAGGTTGTTGATTTCAGGATCCTCACAGGGGACAGCAAGATGGGGCCAATCATGGCGTCTTATGGCATCAGCCTGGACTTCTCCATGAGTACGTTGGCATCAAAAGGGTGGTATGGCCAGATCATCGAGTCCGAGGGAAGGCTTCGCCTCCTCCATCCGGGAGAGATTGCGTCTGCCATGGGCTTTGGTTGTGGTATCATTTTGCCATCGGACCCCGCCTTTGCTTACAAGGTTCTCGGGAACTGCATTATTCCTGCACACGCTTGCCTCCATCTTTCGAGAATTGCAGTCGCCATGTTCGATGCAAACGATCCCATGATGATGCCTGCCAACCCCGCTGCAATGCTGAGGGTGTATCAGGAGCAGGTCCTTCGGTTCCAGCTGTGTGAGACTATAGGTCGGGGCCCTGATCAGATTATGTTTGGTGCCCCTGACACCATGAGTGACATGAGCCCACCGTCGATTGTGTCTGCCACTGCCCCGATCACAAGGCTAGTCAAACGTAATGGCCAGTGGTCTGGACGTCAGGTCTATACTACCCATGCAGTGAATCTTAGCCAGGTCTTTCAGTTCATTGCATCTG